AGACATGACAATGATGCACGAATTATGATAACTAATGGTCTTTGTTCTTGTGTACAAACTGTAGAAACCGAAGAAATGTGTAAAAGATATATTGATCTAGAGATTTTAAGAGCTATAAGAGCAATGTTCTAAAAGGCGTAATGCGTTGCGAGGCGTCGAGGTCGAGAATCAAGAATTACAAGTTTATGCGTGTCAATGCGAAGAATAAGCGTCATAATGCGTTTCGCATTTTTAATAATATTTTAATTATTTTTAAGACATTAAAAATTTGTTATATAAAAAAATAGATTTTTTACTATATCATAAAAAAAAATAGATTTTTTACCTTAAAAAAAAATAAAGATAAAAACAGGATTAGGCATTTTGGAACTAAATATATAGTATGAGAACTTAAATTTTATCTGACTATTTATTAGTAAATAAGCCTTTTGGAACTATGCTTTATTAATAATTAACAATTGGTCATTCTGTAGAAATGAATTGTATTTATCTCACTCCCACATAATGTGATTGTTAGAAATGAATTGAATTATTCTATCTCTCTCTCTCTCCCCCCTTCATCACTCATCAGTAGACAGAAATAAGAAAACACAAAATCGCACACAGTATCTCTCTCTCCCCTTCATCACTCTCAGTGGAATTATTCTCTGTGTCTATCCTTCCTCTTGAAATCCGATGGACAGAAATGAGAAAACACAAAATCGCACACAGTCTCTCTCTCCCCTTCATCACTCTCAGTGGAATTATTCTCTGTGTCTATCCTTCCTCTTGAAATCCGGTGGAACCCTTTTTGAAATTAGGCGTTGGAGATACAATTTTTTCTCAAGCTTCCTCAATTTTTAGTAATTTTTCATCTCCGGTCTATACTCTATCAGTCTATCTTCTTGGCCCTGAACGCTTCCTGTCTGGGCCTGTATTTGACTGGGCTTCAAAGGCGGTGTGGTTGAGAATTCACGTGGGAGTGCCATTTGCAGATTACCCAAACTTTCCTTGGATATTGCTTCACTGGTGAGATTTGTTCCCATAAATTTTGCCGTAATTTTCGTGTAATTTTGTGTCAATTCATTGGGTTGAAATCCGAATAGAGCTTCCCTGTAATTTGGCAATGAATCCACTGCTAACTTTGGGGAGTGATTCCGGCCAGAATACTTGATGAAATTGGAAGGTGTTGGTTGCTACTTGAAGAGGGGATGGAGGGCTGTCCCACCGGTACCAATGTCCGGTGGTTTTGGTGGCATTTGGTCGCGGGAATTTGGGCGAATTTTTGGGTAGTTTTATCACCAAATCACGAGTTTACTGGTAAGAGGAGTAGTTTTGGATGTGACTGTAACTGTAGGTTTAAAAAGTCTATCCCACATCGGATGTAGATTAAATCAGTGAGAGAATAATTCTTTATAAAATGGTGCACCACTCAACTCACTACTTGGGCTTGTCTATTCATTAGATGAGCCCATCAAAGGAGTTTATAATTTTTTTTTTTAAGTCAACTGGGCTGGACCGCATTTTCACACGCATTCAGGGTATGCGAGGCGTTTGGCCCACGCGTCACGCTTCAGCGCGCCTACGCGGCGCATTAAACCGCATTTTAGAACACTGTATAAGAGTAAAGAATTTTGTTGGGTAATAAAACAAGTTTATGGCCTGTTTGACAGAGCATTTGATAAATATTTAACAGATTTTGATAAAATTTGATGAAATATATGATTGAAAAAATGATAAAAATTGTGACTTTCATGAAATGTGTGGTTAAAATTAAAATTTTACCCATTAAAAAAGTTGACGAACTTTTAACAAAGTTTTTTCAAACAAGAATTTAAGTGAATTTCAATCTAAGCTTTGCTAGTTGTTCGATACAAGTTATTCTTCCTACTCACTACGACGTGACAAAAAACTCTGTTGCGACTTCAACATCACTTGTTAGTCGCATCTCAAAAAATTTTGGGTCGAAATATGAATGTCTATATTCTGTACAACGTACTCAACAATATTGTATAACACAATGAACAAAATATAAAACCATTTTTTTTTCATGGATCATGTTAAATATTATCCAGTGTAACATATCAAACATGCTAATAGACTTCATTACTCTATATTGGATGTGGTTGTTATGTCTCCGTGGGTGAAATCTGTTGTCGAAAAGTTGTCACATTTTCAACACATTTTTGACACTTCTATACATTATCTCTTTTTAACAAACGAAAAGATGTCAATGTGTAGTGTGTTGAAGTGTCAAGAAAATATATTTTTGACGCTTTCCCTCTTACTAAGAAATGATGATGTTCCAACATGCAAAAAAATATATTACAGAAGCCGCTATAAAGATAGTAAATTTGAAGCTTAGAACTTCAATAAACGAACTATTTCCCAAACACCATCATGTGTCCTAAAGTCATCCTTTGTCCTAAAGTGTTTTCCACGACATGCTTGGTTAGGTATACCTTCTAGTTTGAGTCTCAACAACCATTCATTTTCATTCATATAAACACTATTAACACCAAAAAGAAAATTAAATTAAATAAGCATTTAATAGAACATAATTTGCTTTCCAAAGTATCATCGGAAGATACTAGTTGATAAAATATTTTGCCAATTGGTCCACAAAAATTTGACCATGTCCAAAGTGAGCCATAAGTAATTACTTTTCTTCTTTTTTTTTTTACAAATTACAAGAATTGTCAAAAATGAAAATCCATGTAAATTTATTTTCCCAAAGTTTTTCATTGATTGCCTTCGAAAAAGATTTTTATGTGTTTTTCTATAAAGGAAGACAATGGCATAATTTTCAAACGAAATTATTCCTCCAAAGTTAGTGTACACATTTTTGGTTTGACTATTTTTAATTTAATTGGGGTATAATTATGGAATCTTTGTGATCCTCCACTATCGTAATACCACGTGATGTTTTGAAATGAAAATTTATTTAATTTTTTGCTATATACAAACTAAAATAAACCTATTCTAAACACCTTTTTGGGGCATCTCCAATGACATATTATATTTGGTCTTGGATTAATCTGCTTGTACATTGAGATTGACATAAATGATAACATAATGTGAGTGGGGGTGGGGCCCACGATATTGTAGCATGGGACCCACCACTCATATTATGTTATCATTTATGTCACTCCCAATGTACTCCTAGCATTTCCTTTTGGTATATAGCGTAAAAGTTGTTTCAATGATTCATCAAATATCAAAAGAGCTAAACAAACAGGGTCAATGACAGGAGCATTTTCCAAGGAGTGAACTAGTGAAGTGGCAGTTTTTGATTGACAATGTTTTTTTTTATTTAACTGCCAATGAAAAAATGCCAAGTGTATGTCTGTATTTTTTCCAGTCGATTACCCTATCACTATAGCATTTTCCATCAAATATAGTGTGATGAATAGTGTTACACCAAATATGTAGTTTTTCATTTAATCCGATTTTAATCTTGTTCACACTTTTTACAAAAATTGTTTCTTTCATCTATATCCTTATTTAATATTTTAGTATAAATAAATTTTAATTGATTCATTATTTTAATATGATGGTTATTTTTATTTAATATTTAAATTTAAATTCTACTCAATTAATAAATAATAATTCTTTCAATAATAAATTAAAATTATTCATTAAAAGTGTAAAGTTATAAATATGATAATTAATAAATTTAGTGTAAATTGGTTTCCAATGATTTACACCATTCTAATCAATTAATAAGTAATAATTCTTTCAACAATAAATAAAAATCATTCATTAAAAGTGAAAATTTATAAATTTGATAATTAATAAATTTAGTGTAAATTGGTTTCCAATAATTTACATCAAATTTGGTCTAACCATTGAGGAGGAAAAATCAAATTTTGTGTAGACCATTGAAGATGATCTTTTTATTTTGCCAATAAGTAGTTGGGTAGGGAATAGATTGGAGTGGACTTCTTTTCTATTTTTTTAAATCTGAATTTTGGGTTGAATCTCGATTTTTCTTTCAAATGGATCGCTCTAGTTCAATTCTTATAATATTATAAAATACTTACTTTTCGACGAATAGATAAAATATATAAAGAATAAATTTAAACAAACGGGCCACGTGTTGCGTAATTCATATATAAAATCTCTTCAAAAGTTCACTATTTTATAAAATTAAAAGGACATTGATATGTTAAGAGGTCAAAAGTAATTGTACAATTTTTTTATTTGTTTTATTTCTAAAATAAAGTTTGGCGAAAGGATAAAAAAAATAAAAAAGATTTAAAAAAAATAAAAAACTCGAGTAGATAATAGGGGAAAGGGTACAAAATTTTTGGGATTTCCAAAGAAAACCCAAATGCGCCTCCAACTGCTACAATCTACATATAATTTCTTCTTCGAATCTTTGCCCTCACTTGATATGCCTCACCCACTGAAACAAAAGTGAATCCCTTTTTTCTTGTGAAACAGTGAACATTTATTGGTCGGGCCGATTCTTTACAATTACTTTTTTCACTTTTAGGATTTATATTATTATAGTCAATCTACAAATATCTTGGTTTGGTAGGTTTTGGTGGAAGAACCCCAAAATTGGAGGTTTTTTTTGGGAAATGGGTTCTTTTTGTTGATGAATTTTGCAGCACAGAGATTTCTGTTTAATGGGTATGCATTGGGTTTTCTTGATGTTTTCTGTAGTTCATCTGAAAGTTCAAAAGATTTGACAAAGTCTTCATTCTGGGTTCTGACTTTGATACTGATATAAGGCTACTTTTGTTTTTAAGGGATTCTAATTTTTTTTTTTGTCTCTGTTTGATTGGTTGAGGTTATTGGTTTTAAGAATTTGGTGTAGTTGACAATTATTTTATCAGAGGAGTGGTTTCATTTTTTCGATTTGAATGCTGAGGTATTGTTTCTTGATATAGACAGTATAAATGATCTTTTAGGTCCCGACTTCACCTTGACGTTTATGCTACGGTGTCCTTCAATCTGGATTCTTATGTAAGAATAGGAACAAAGATCATACATTTTGGTGAGGTGGCTTGAAAATGGATGTTTGGGTTGTTGCTGCTGCAGCTGGTGCTGGTTATGTAGCTCAGCATTTGAAGAATCTTACTCGGGTTAAACATTATTTTTCAGATTTATCTTCAACTAATGCTAAGTTTTATAGAACCGAATCCTCGCCAAATATACGGGAGGTTCAAGACAAAAGCTGCCCCTTCCGCAGTGTTTTACCGAAAAAGAAACTAGTGAAAGATGATTATAGTGAAGAAACTAAGGCTTCTCAAGAGGCTTCCTCAGCAGAAATGTCATCTACGAGTGGGTTTGGAGGTGAAAATATGGTAGCATTGGATAATTTCATGATTTGCAGTACATCTTGCAATTCAAATTTATTACCTGGGTTTTTGGACAATGGAGATGTGCTAGAGGATTGGGAAGGGAGAGGACAGAACATTGATGAGGTTTATAGTGATTTATCGCCTCAACTATCTGCAAGAGAAATGGGTTTTTCTTATGTTGTTGAAAGAAATAGAAGTAGACTTAGAACTAGACGAACTAGCAGGCAATTCATAAAACCCTTAACATCTCTTGAAAGTTGTCTCATGGCTCAGTTATACAAGGAGCATTTGGATTTTGAAGAATACACCTTTAGTTCAACCCATTCACCGCACGCACCAACTGCTAGACCATTTGTAGTTACTGACGGAAGCAGAATAATCAGCAGACAGGTTTATGAATCTTTTAGTTCTCCGACTGGAACAGGGAATTATAAGTTGCACGAAAGTACTTATTCACAAAATGGGGAGTTTGTACTTGGAATTCCCAGACTACCTAAAGTTGCCTCTATGGAGAGCCATAATAAAGCTAAAACTGGAAAGGAGAAGGTTACAAGATCGAGCAATTCTAGTAGAATGGTCAATGGAAATTTTGATAATTCTCCAGAAGGTACTAATCTAGCTCATATTTTTTTTGTTTCATTTCAACGCGTGCTTATGAAAAATACATGCCAGTCAATTTTTTGTTATGTTGAGATACTGGCCATTGCTCTTAATATTAGTTTTACTTGAAACCATAGTTGTCAGACTCGATCCGGACAAGATCCGGACAATGTAGCGGGTGAATGGGTTAATGGTTCAATCGGCGGGTCAATTCCTCTCAAATATAATATTTTATTTCAATTGAACAATAAAATTTTACCATTTTCTACATAACTAAATTAACCTCATATTATTTTGTTAACTAAAGATCGATATGTATCCCAAATTTCACAAATTCTAAATCATATGTAGTCAAATATGCATTTGAAACAATAAAAACAACAATCAAAGGTAAAAAAACTATTTTATCTAACAAAGTTCAACAAGATAACTTCATATGCTTGCAAAAATAAAACCATCATTTAAAAGTCATTTATGGACAAAGAACGTGTTAGCAAAGTAAATTATTTGAGATAATTCAATATTTTTTTAATTAAGAAGAGTTGGAGCGCATCTATGCTGGGGTGTCGGACATAAATTCTTCAATTCCTTCGCCATTGAAACATTAAGGGGCACAAGAAACTGATTTTCATTGTCTAAAAAAAATCAGAAAGTTTAACAGGTTTTAACACTTACACAACATCTCAAGCAGAGCTTAACAGAAATAATCTGTTCTTTTAACAGGTTTTAACACTTTTACATAATTGTTCCTTTCACACCAGAAATAATATGTGCCACTGGTGATTCATTATGTAACAAAAATCAAAAAGTTTAATATGTTTTAACACTTTTACATGCTATACAAATCCAAAAATTGATGTCCAAATGTATTATTATGTAAATTGACGTCCGAATCCAAAAATCATAGCTGTGTCCCGTTCAAGTCTGTAAAACAACATAGAAACAAAAATTCTTCTTTTGAATTCATATGTATGCTTTGTAAGAATCCGAAATTGCACAAAAATAACTAACCATATCTTATTTTAAAAAATTGAAATCTACCACAAGAATATTTTCAACTAATTAATCAAACTAAATTTCTACTGGTGTCATACTGATCTGTTCTTCTTCCATCTCTTAAGATTTGAAATTGGAGATTTGGATTTTTGGGAGTGATTGAATTGGAGATGACAGCAGAGGAGTTCGATTTTGGAAGATGAATCGCCTGATAACGTGAATTGAGGAACTCGAAAGAGGAGAAAATAGGTTGAAAAAAAAAAAAAGCATAAGACCCGGTTGGGTCAAGGGCAAATGGGTCGGCAGGTTACTTAAAAACCCAACGGTTTGACGGGTTTCAAATGGTTTGTTTGCCCACCACAAAATCTGTGTGACTCGGACCAGACCTAGGTCCGGCGGCAGATTTCGGGCTGACCCGGCCGGTCCGGTTCAGTCTGGGTCGGGTATTATAACTATGCTTGATACTGCATCACTAGGGGTAAGTAAATAAGGCAACATTTTGTTTCACCAAGAGTTTCTATAATGTTTTCTAGTCTCTACTACTAGTCCGTCTTGAATTTATGTATCATAGTGTTCAAAAAATAACGTTCGCAGCATGTGGTCCTCAGCTGAAATTGAGGATTTGTAAATGAAATGATAAAAAATAAAAAAATAGTAATGATGATGATTATATGGAATAATGTGTCATGGGTGCTTTAGCTACTGAAAGAATGCTGTATATAATCTCTGCCGAATTCAGCACATAATAGAAATTATAAGATTAATAATTTCATAAGAACTATTTAAGCTGAACCATTATAAACTCTCCTCTTTATGTAAGGTTTAAGAGTCCAGATTAAATGTGGATTTTCTTTTATTAACCACTGCTTGGTGGCCAGAACTTTTCCAAACGTGATTTGGTTTGAAAGGGACTTAATTGCTGAATCGCAAAAATATTAAAGGAAGAGAGTTCTGTCAAATGGCTCGTCTGATGGACTATTAATTTTGTGTCGGGTGCTGTTAGATGGACTACTTATTTTGTCGGGTGTGTTTTTTATTTCTGTAATTGAAGATATCTTAACACTACTGTTACCATTTTTAATTTTTTCTTCTGGAAACTTTTTGCTTTTGCCATTGTGTGCTCCGACAGGTTGGTAAATTAGACTTGCTTGCTTATCATGCTGCTAAAATGTTTCTTGCCTAACATCTTCCCTTTGATTAGGGTCATCTGGTGGAGCTCTTGATTTCTATCTTGGATTCTCTATTGGCATAATATCTTCTTTCTTGGCCCATAAAAGGGAAATAGAAAAACTGAATACCTTGTTAAGGCAGACTGAGAACCTGGTACAAGATCTGCAGGAAGAACTTGAGATGAAAGATTCATTGACTATGAAAGAGCTTGCTGCAGAAAATTATGAATCACAGGATATAAACCGTGAGTCTTACTACAAAGAGACTGTGCATGCATTTTCCCCTGAACAGAAATTGGACAATTCAACAGAGTATCGTCGTGAAGAACATGATGACAAGAAGGTGGAGGACATATCTTTGAGTAACATTGAAGCGGAGCTTGAAGCTGAGCTGGAGAGGTTGGAATTGAACTTGAGTTCATCTAAGTTGGAAAAGAAAATATCTATATTAGCTGAGGTGAGCACGTTACGTACCATCTCATGTTTGCATGTGCATTACCTTCCTCGTGTAAATGTATATGATTTGAAAGCCTTGGTGATATGATCACATGCCTTTGGCTTTCAGCATCCAGCAATTACCATTGGGCTAGTGATGATTGCATGTTACATTGTTAATCTGTTGATGCTTCCTGAAAGTAATTTAATGCGATCGATTCGCTTTGCTATAACCGTGTGTAAACCAGGCACCTAAGGATTCAGAGGGATTCTTTAGTAATTTTTCCTATTCCTTTTTTAATGTTCTAGATTTATTTCTTTCTTGTCTCGATTGTAAGATTGCCTTTTCCCTTTCTGTAAAATAGCCATCACTTGCAGAATGTTGGGCTAAAATCAAACTTGAGGCTTTCTTGATGTTTATTGCTGCTAAAACTTTCTCCAACTAAGTAATCCATATATTTACCCATTGTGGTCTTATCTTGTCAAATATTGATTGGATCACTTATGGTTGCATTTTCACGTGAGCATTTGTTAATAGGGACACATGCATTTATAATTGTATCTCATTGCTCAATTCATATTTTCTTCTGAATTCTCTTAAGTTTTCCCCTTTTACTTTTATTACTATTATTTAAATATTTTGTGTGCGCTTGCTTGTGAATTCAAGAAAATGTGGTTTCTTCAATTTAGTTTCTTAAGGTTTAGTTTTTGGTGAGAATGTCTACATTCTTGAATTTAGGTTCTTACAACGTCACACACATTGAGTTTTGTGCCTGGAGGAGGATTAAATGGATTGCTTGTTGTATTGAAGTGTATAGTTGACATTGTAAACTCCACGCGCTGCTTGTGGAGTTTTTGTTTCTTTCCTTTCTTTTTTATTTGTGGGTGGGGAATCGGGAATGGGGTTGATGCAAGTATTAAGCTAAAGCTTCTCTGGGTTCTCCATTTATTCCTTAGTGTCACAGAAGTGCTCTGTAAAGATGGCCGTTTTCTCGTTCTTTCTGCATGGTAGTTTGGAAGTGAAGATTGTTTGATTTTGCAACCTATGGTTAAGTTTTATTGGTTTTATTTTCAAAATACATGCTTATGTCTACTTCGGGTCACTGTCTTTGCACACTCCTTACTGAAATGATCTATATTTGTCTCTTGACTTGTATAAAAGACATATTATGAATTTTGATGAAAAGAAGGAAAGCATGTGCTTACATGTGATAACATTTGGCTGCTGTCAATGTTACGACACGCATTAGTCCCTATTTGACCATGAAAGTTGAATCTCTTTATTTCATGTTCCTGTAGTTGACCTTTGTTGGATACAGTTTGGTGCCATATTATTTGATGGAAAATATAGTAACGTAAACGTTTCATGGTTTTATTTTCCCTGGTTAAATCACATTTCAGGTTGACAAAGATTTCATAGCGGATGTTGCAGAGGGGGAGTTCAGAACCAACTTGTTTGATAAACCTTATGTTGATCGGGATGGAACTGGTTGCTCAACCCCATGCTCAGTCCATTATGCAGTCTCCCCAAGAGAGCTGAGTTTACGGTTACATGAAGTCATTCAGTCCCAACTAGAAGAACGAGTCAAGGAGCTCGAGACTGCACTTGAGAACAGTCAGAGGAAGATCAAATCTGCGGAATCCAGGCATATGTCTTATTGGAGCAAGTCTTCAAACAATGGAGCAGGATCTTATGAAGACGTATTCACAGATGAGCCTGTGATCATCAATTTATCAGGGGAAGCTCTAGCTGCATACAATGAGGCTTATGATGAGTTTGCAAAAGTAACTGAGTCGGATGAAGAGGACACACCATATGGACTCGAGGAGAGCAATGATCAAGAATTCTTTCAGGAAGGGCAGCAGGTTCTTAATGGGGGCTCAAATCATTACACTCAACATTCATTTGTTCATGGAAGCCCACCATTGTTATCGAATTATCAAAATGACGTCATATGTTGCAGCACAAATGAGAATGGCGACAGTGAGGAAGAGATAGAGAAGCTGTTGATAATGCAAATTGTAGAAAAAGCTAGGAAAGGCTCTCCTGTAATTTTAAACGCTCAAAGAGCATTGTTTTCAACTGATGAATGACATTGAAATAAGAAAAGAAAAGAGAGAATTTGCCTGTTATAGATTTGGGTAGAATTTCTTGCCTTATTTTTCTCAAAGTGTTTTTGAGCAAGATTTATATTCTTCCTAATAACTAATAACCGCATGTCTTTCTTTAGCAATTAAGACCCTTATTTACCATCTTAAGTTGATGAAAAGGACGGACCTTCCAAGAAGCTACTTCTAGATGTACCTTCATTTTTCAGCTACCCCATTCTTGAACGCCCTGCTGAGCTCAACCCTGCCCACGTTTCCTTTTCAAGGAGCCAAAAAACTGTTCCATTCTACCATCTTGGTAGAGAAAAATGCGCATTGTAGATGGACAAATAGGCAATCAGTTAAATGGATCATGGTTCCATAGATTAGCAACCGATACAATTGCTAAAATTGCTCTATGCCAAGCCATCAGGCAAACAAAATGCATATGTAATCTGTTTCCCCTCGATTTCGAGGTCTAAAGAGGAGAAGCCACGTGGCAAGCTACGTAGGCAGAATGGTCAACGAGAGGTCAAGAGGAGGGCCAACAGGTCAGAAGTACCAATGAGGAAATAGATCGAGGTCCTTACCCAGCATCAGAAGTTGTCACATTAAACAAGCCTCGACCTGAAGCACCTCCTCAAAGACGAGGCACAACTCAATCCGAGGTTCTTTCAGGCTCGTCCGAAACTCATGAAATCGACGTTGCCTCACAACAGATTCGGAGATTTTTTTGGATTGATTGATGAGACTCTGCAGTAAAGTGTCGTAGTTTTAATCAATGTCAGTCTACTACTAGAACGACTGACCTTTAGTCAAATATTAAATGTAATGAGTGGATAGTGATGTGAAACTTCGATTTAGAGGATGTCGCCACGTAAACTTGATCCGACGATCATCACGTCGAGTAGAACAGTATAAATAGCGACTCTCTGTATAGAAAAAGGGGACGATTGATTGATGCAGAGAATAGAAAAACACACATTCATACAAACACTTGAACCCTTATTGAAAAGGAAAGAACTCATCTACTCATCGTATCTATCCTTCCACATATTTCATTATTATTTTGTTCAAAGGAGATCATTGATAGTGTGATTGTCATCTAATCATATCATCGAAATCTTAACATTTTTGTCTCTTATCGAAAAGTGCCTCTCACGTTCACTACAGTTGGATAACCGTTCCTATCTCGGTAAAAACGTGTTAGATCCGTACTCGACGTGACAGAGTGGACCCAACATCTATTGAGTTCATTTTTTTGGGTCAACATAATCCATGCTCAAGATCTCCATTTTAACTTGATTCCAAATGTTCGAAGATTGGTGGACAGACAAGAAGATTTTAGGCTACAATTTAGGTGCAACCTCACTTGAGAATGACATCCCCTACAATTAGGTGCAACCTCACGAGACAATGACATCCCACCACTAGTTTAGACACAAGGTGGGCACAATACAGCATAAAATCAATGACCAGAAAATATGATTCTCTACGGCAATGAAAGATATTTTACAAATGCCTTTGGTAGGGTCAAATTCTCGCTCATTTCCACAAATGCCTTCGAAAAAGCCTTTGATGGACAATATAAGTGACAAACAACAGATTACATAAATGCACACACAAAAATATGTTCTGAAACACCACAATAAACATGCATTATGTTTCCCGTAAAGCAATCAAAGAATCCATACAGTTCAGAGGGGCTTCAATCGATAAACAAAATAGTCACAAAATAGTAGAACATCCATTTCTCATATCAAATGCATTAGTCTGGATGCAATTACCCAGAGCACCCGTACTAGCCCCTTCTATCAGCAAAATTATTAGGGGTATCATCGTCATCTCTGTAGTTTCCTTCCACGGGCTCACCTTGGCTATAACTGTCAGCTGCACCTTCTGTGTTTCTGCTTTCTTCCGCATCAAACTTGAACTGACCCACTTCGCTGCTTACAAAATTGCTGTCAGTACCCACGTTATTGTCAGTGAAAAGGTTGTCACTGCCCCCACCACCTCCAGCAACACCAAAATTCTGACCATCACTGCCAGGTAGATTCCCGCCACCATAACTAGTATTGCTTGCATAGCTGCCGCCACTACCACCTACTGCGCCACCACCACCTACTGCGCCACCACCAGTGTAGCCATCTTCACCACCTGCAGCATTGTCGAAATTGCCCCCATAACCGGCTCCACCGCTGCCGCCACTACCAAAGTTCCCACCGTAGCCGCCACCACCACTTCCATAGTTCCCTCCATATCCACCACCACCACTTCCATAGTTCCCTCCATAGCCACCACCACCACCACCACTACCATAGTTCCCTCCAAAGCCACCATCATTACCATAATTCCCACCATAGCCGCCACTGCCGAAGCCTCCACCACCTCCATAACCACGAGTCCTTTCATTTGCATAAGCCACCCTTACTCTACGACCATGAAGATCCTAAAGGAATGTCGCAATAAAATATTAATCAAAATGTATGACCAAACAAAAATAAAGCCAAATCCACAAGAACATCTAGCATACAACGTTCGATACCTGTTGATCCAAGGCCTGGATGGCAGAAGATGCATCCTCAACAGTAGAAAATGTAACAAAGCCAAATCCTCGAGATCTGCCAGTATCACGATCAACAATCACCCTTGCTACAAGAAATATCAGGTTTGTCAGCACTCAGCATTATTTGAAGGAGGTTTTTTGACTTGCTATTCTACTTTACTCCCAAAACAATGTAATGGCAAAATAATCAATCCCAGATAAATGATTGGCCACTAAACAAGAGAAAGATATTTTAAAGATTCTCCGACTCATTTAGAATAATTGCTGCAACAAAAAAAAAATCACAATTCAGTCCCACAATCTAGTTCCATAAGCAACACTGTTGCCTTTTCTTTTACAAAAGCCTGAGAATAATTTCATGCCCGTGCGGCTGTGCCAATGTCAAAAAACTTGTATGAAGCGATTAGAAACTGTAATTCACTAAACTTAACCGTTCAAAGAAATAAAATGATCACCTAAAAACAAGGAAAAACACCTAAACGTGTAACAACTAGTAGAATTCAAGGAAAATACCAACATATACAAGTCCCAACAAAAATAAATTGGATTGTATAAACACTTAAGAAGTCCACTCAGCATCATTACAAGTTCAGTCATTACAGTCTTTTGTAAAACAGTGATTTTACGGTATATATATTTCATTAAATTATCATATACAGGAAAATATGCAATATTCAAGACTACGAACAAACAAAAAGCACAATTTAAATATACATCTCAACAATAAACCTTTATGAGAACTGTTTAACTTTGTTCGAAGATTATACAGTGCTTGCATTTCAATTAATTATCCATCCAAAAGACAAGCAAGTACACAGCATGAAAAATTAAGTAGGTTCAATTATTCTTTTAATAAATTGTCTGCAATAACCCGTGGCACAAATTATGTCAAACTATCACACCATCATCAATAACAAGCTGGGTATGCTTAAAGTACCGTCGGCAACTTCTCCATATTTACTGAAAGCCTCTCTCAGACCTGAGTCATCTGTGCTGTATGAGAGTCCTGTAAAAACCACAAAATCGCAGAATGTTAATACTAATCTGATGTCCAAAAAAATATGCTCAACTATATTTTAAAAAATAAGAAATACAAACAGAATATTATACCTCCAATAAAGAGTTTTGAGGTTGACATGCATCTTATTGCTTGAAAGATGGAGGGTTTGGATGTTGAGATTTCCTGACTGATGTGATTACTCACAGTTCGGCTTAGTATATTACCAGCTTTTCGAAAGAAGGCCATTGCTCTGACCTAAAACATGGGACGGATGTTAACATTGCCTAAGAAATCCAATATACAGAGAACCTCTCCGACCTGCTTTAGATTCAGAATTCTCAGGAACAAAAACTATGTCAGTTCTGTCCTACTAAAAGAATCAACTACCATGAAGATTAGGAATAAAGCAAGAAGAGCACGATTATTTACATTAACAACCAGACTCAAATCTACATATGAACATTTATTGGAGAATTTTTTTCACCTTATTGACATATAATTCCTCGAAAGAGGATTCTTTTATTTTTAATTTTAAAAGAAGAAGATTGTTCACATAAATATTTTCAACTGCACGTACCAATTTCTTGCACAATACCCCGTTACTCGCGCAAACGCGTACATAGAAAATCTACCTTATTTTCAAATTTCCATATTACAAGGCCGTAAAAACCATATCCGTTGCTCATAAAAGTTTCAAAAATTCTCAGTTAAAAGAAAATATATGATATAATCACACCAATATCACAAAATCATGCACATATGTACCAGAATATATATATATATAAAATTTTCTTTCTTTCTCAGATATCAACAGACCCATTTCTTACCAAAAATGTAAACATTAAGATTAATCACCACTAATCAAACCGACAATAGCCACTGAAAACCACCAAATAGAACAAATCCAAACTCATAAAAAAAATGAAATTTGAATATCATAGTAATAATCAAGAAAAATTAGGGAAAATCTAACCTTTTGATGGGCTGAATCTAAAACCCTAGAGAGTATACGAGGGTTTATCGGGAGAAGAGAACGGATTTTAGGGTTTATACGACGACGGTGTCTATAAAGAATGATATCAATGAATATCCACCGTTGATCTAACGTCAAGAAATGTTGGCCGTCGATGAGAGCCTTGTTGATATATTTTAGGGAAAATTGCAGCTAAAGACCCAAACCTTTAAAATACTAATAGACTTTCCCTGACCCTTTTATTTATTGCAGATGATGCCTTTTCAGATGATTTCCATCCAAAAGGCCGTCAGTTGACCACCAAAATAAAAATTGAAAACTTCCTACCAAAATAGGAGGGATAAAATCGTCTGATCACTTAAACACTAAACTCCAAATAAGTTATTTTTTATTTCTCTCCAATGTACTAGACTTCTATCCTATAATAAATTGTCAATTTATCAATCTTACACAACATACAAAATTAAGAGTTGAAGAAATGGAGATGCGAGTTTGCATATGCAGAACCCTTGTTGAGATAAAGACTTCGTGTACTAATTTGAGTTTAGGTAAACGATTTCTTACCTGACCACGCGGAATGACTCTGCAAAGCTATTCTTTCTTTTTTTGGTGTGTTCCTCCCAATGTGTGAGAGATCAATGGAGCTAATACCTGGTTTTCTACAACTGAGACAGGAATGGAAGCTGAAATCAGGGAACTCCATTCAAATGGAGGTGGTGTATGGAAGATTTGGTTGTGGGTTTGTCTGTGGAGTGATTGTAAAGTGGATCTGCAGTTAGATTTGTGTAGGGGTTTTGGGGATTTTGTGTTGGATTCGTAATCTTCTTCTTATAGCCTGTTTGGGAGGCATTTGTATCTAATTTTTAGAAGAAATCATGTCGTTATATACAATACCATGTCAGTGAAGCATAGCCACAATGTTTGACTAAGATGATTGAAATTACCAATGTGTCCCATTTAATTTAATTCACTCCTCTTTACAAAAGGGTTTTTTTGGCATAAAAGTGAATTTTGTGTGAGTAATTGACTAATTGATGCACAAAGTGTTCCACTGATATATCAATATTGCGGCTACTGCTCTTGCAACGGGAAAATTTTTACTAAAAATTGGCAAATAAATGTGGAACAAACAGGGGCTTAATGGTGTAACCTAAGTTATGGGTATGAAATGTTGTTCTAATTGTTGTATTGTTCTGTAAATATCTAATCTTCTTGTGCTTTGCAACTATTTTTGGTAGAAATGTGTAGCTAGTTGAGCCCCCAAACATTTAGTACATGATGCATAAAAGGCCCTATACCTTTTAAACGATGGCATAAAAAGCCTCGAACCTTTTTACAATGATTGAAGAAAAAGTCCCATACCTTTACTAAAATTTCCATTACATATGCACCTTAAAACGCGTATATATCACTGACACACTTAAAATTCTAAAATCCAGCATGTCACAAAACAAATAAATACTAAACTCAAAAGCAAAAGTCATTTAATAGTTAAATCTAGTGAAATTACATTCTCCAAACAAAATGTGATTCAAAAGATCATTTGCAATAGTCAGAATAATAGAATCAAAACATCATTTACATTCCATGTTTATGTGTTCAAAAGATCATGTACAGGCTCAAGTTCAGGTTCAAAAGATCACAAGATTAGACTGTTTTAGACTTTTTCTTTTTTGGGTTCTTTTCAGTTGATATAACTGCCCCTCTCTTTCCCTTCTGCTATGTGTCTGTTTTTCTTGAGGATAATGTATATTTACAGTGCATGTCCTCTTATTATTCCAGCTTCGCTAAACCTATTGCATGATATATTCATGTTCGTTCCTGTCATTTTAACTCCAACTGATGGTTCAGTCTAGGACCTTTTCCTTTGTTTTTTATGTCTACCTTATTTGTTTCTTTTTAATTGGTGGCTTCAATGGATTTTTCCCCAATTCAGGCCAAAGTTCAACCTCTAAAATTGGCTGAATCACAGAACTGCATGCTCTCACGTATGTCTCTTTCTTGTAACATGCGTCTACAAATTCATCTAAATCATCTACAAACTGGATGATTTATCAAAGGTTGCACCTTACTTATCAACTATAGTCTGCTCAGCCTGTGTATTTTCATCATCTTCAACTCATGTTACACTCTCAAATGTGGATGGTTCAACATAAACAGTCGCCCCTTCATTAACACCGTTGGATGCTCAAACTAGGTATCTTGAGCATCTTCTATTCCTGGTGCATTTTCAAAAAATGTTGACTTCTCATATGTTGGCTCCACAGTCTAATCATTTGCACTTACCTCTTCCTCAACTACATCTGTAAGCTGATTATTTCCAATAACCACTACCCCAACTACATCCACATGCTCAAATACACCAACTCAATTGTCATCCACACCATCAAATTCATACAAATGATCCCCATCAACCTCCGTATCATCAGCATTTCCTAAACCATACATATTCTAATCCAGTCTATCTTCAAATTCATCGACAACTTAAAGATCATCACCCTCTAATATTTCATCAAAAATCTCAGCAGCAAAGGCAAATTTCTGTCCAACCTTAATATCATCATTGCTCAAATGCACACTCTCCAACATCTCACCAGTTTCCATATCAGTCATTACAACTCTTGTTGGTACATTCTCATCCCATGACAGTTCCAATACTTCTATTGGTTTCAACAAACAATATAAATCTACAACTCTTATAGGACCAAGTAATTTCACCACATTCATGAAGTCTGCATTAGTAACTATAACCAAAATAATCCCTCACTCAATCTTTTGTTTTCAAGCCGATATATATATCGCATCTGGGTCCACGTAATCAAGATAGTTGATCTTATTGTGTTCAAACACGTAATTTTGCATCTTGCCAAATAAAATCCCACCATCGTTCAGCCGAATTATGAAATAAAGGGAGTTCTTTGCTAAAAATGAAAAAAATACACAAGTTCAATTAGAATGAATATGGTTCTCATAATTGACATCGCTAAATACTCATTACAAGCGGGGGAGGTATCATCAGGGACTAAGCAGGAAATTGTATTAGGGCTTTCTCAACTTCATATAGACAATGTATGATATTAGAGGCGGAACTCAGGGCTGGGATACTATTGGCTAGAGATCTTGGTTTGTCAGATATTTGGGTTGAGACAGATTCGACTGTTGCTATTCACTGCATCACCAGAGGTGGCGGACCATGGCCTATCCAGGGGATACTCAGACAGATTGCAGATATCGTTTCATTTGACAGAGATATGGTCTCCCACATCTTCAGAGAGGGGAACCAAGTTGCAGATGCACTTGCTCCGAGGGTTGACATCATCGTAGATATCAGGATCTTTACTTTCACTGTTAGGGAAGTAATATTTCTTTATTTATTGATTTCATTGATATTATTTGTAACCACGGTATTCCTCAACCACAAGTGATGACATATTAATAAAATCTCGGAGGTACCGCCCTCTTTCCACCATTTTTTTTTGTCCATATAGACCACTCCATGCAATTTCTGTAAACCCTACCTATTACATTCATAACAAACAACGAAAACACAAAATTGACTAATTGAAATGGGTTACTGTACTTCTTGATAATGATCCCACCATCCAAGTATATGGATATCTCACAAAGATCGTAGTTTGTACTATTTTATTCCTAAATCATAACCGACCATGAAGATACTTGAAAAAACTTACAGTACATGAGTTCGAGTAATGATCTTATTAGATAGCACGCGCATCCGATATCTCTGTCTTCAGATTCTTGGACTTCAGGCAAGTTCATTTTCAAAGATTTTTTGAAAGTTTTCTTATCTTGTTCGGAGGGATGTGTGTGAAGAGAAATAACTACAAAATTTTGATTTAAGAGTGTTTTAAGTGACTAGATGATTTTACCCTTCCCTATTTTGGTAAAAAGTAGTCAATTTTTTTTTATTTTGATTATCAACTGACGACCTTTTGAATGAGGCTTTACCTACAATGTTTGAAAATGTTGGGGACGACAACTGCAACAAATGAAAGGTTTGAGAAAAGTCTGTTTTAAACGTTTGGAGCTTTGTTGTAATTTTTCCTAGATTTTATAGAAGATTGGATACCAATGAACTCGCTTTTAACACGTGGATATCAACGAATAAGAATAGTGTTTATAAATAGCTCCCATTTACTTATTTTCATTTATTTGTTTATTTAAATATAATTGATTTCTAAACATATAAAAAAATAATAAACATAATAAAATGAATAATGATATCAAGCGCCAATGACGCTACGATACCAGTACTCTTACATGTGTCACCAAATGATAAATTTAATTAAAATTAAAGAATTATTAATTAATTACGTTGACCTCTCTTTTGTATCAATTACGTGGACAATAGATGTCGGACCCACTCGCACCTTTACAAGCAAATTCCTGCACATTTTGACAAGATATTAGGGGTGGGTGAGGATGATTTTTATGGACGTGGGAGATGTTTTACGGCATGAGATAAAAAATTTTGAGCACCGGTAATTCGATTAAAGATTGTTACACATGAACAAAACATTCATCAACTCAAACAAAACTAAAGTAATTTAACTCAAGCAAATAAAATATGAAGTAAGCCAAAAAAGAGGAGATTTAGTGTGGTTTTAAGTGTTAAAGTTTTCATTATTTTTCAAATGGTATAAGTTGTGAGCTTTTATAGAGTTCTGGTCAAAGTGTTAGTCGTTGGATAACAATCACGTGACCCCATCTCCCAGGTTGAAACCCCACGTCACTTAGTTTACTATGCATTTAATACATTGAAAACGTGTCAACAATCCTGACATTCATCATTATAAACGTTACATCAATCATTCCTAAAGATTGCATTCGGATTCTCCAAAGGACGACAAAAGCTTCAGTTTCGGGAAACTTCATGTTAGAAGTCTTCAGCGAGAGGAACTTTGGCTTTTTCTTTGAGTACTTCGACCAAAAAGGGGTGTTTCACTCTTTGGCCTCTTTATTTTGATCAATTGAGTCTTTGTCGAATTGATCAGGTTCGATTGACATCTTCACGTGGGCTACGACGTGGTCTTATCATTAGACCCTTTGTGACGAGGCGCAACAATAGTCCCCCAGATCTAACTATAAATATTCATATTATAATTAGATCTTAAAGGTATTTTACCTGCATGAGTAACTTGTCGAGGTTGTTGATCGACGCTGAGTCATCGGGAAGTAACAAGTTGAGGAGTCCGTGAAACTCGCCTCTGCTTTGGCAGAGATTGAGAGTTTGAAGAACGAAGTTCATTTGTCATAGAGCCAAGTGGTTTCTCTGACTAAGCGAGTGGAGACTTCTGATGCACACTAGCAAATTGCTGCCAGGCCATGGAGGCTTCAAATAAAGAATGTGCTCTGCTGAAGCAGCAAGTGGAAAGGCTAAATTCCATAGTTGGTGGTTGATCGAAGAAATAGAGGTAGCTCGAGGTGAAGCTCGGTCTGTTGGTAATGAAACGGTAAAGCGTTATATAGATCTACCTAACAAATGAGTGCCTGCGTTTCACCAAGTATTGGCAGAGGCTCACTTATACTGAAGTGGTGGAATGGATTGAGATTCATTCTCAATCCGTCAACATGTTTGAGTTAAGGTCGAAATTCTTGGAAGAGAACGAAAATAGGACCTTAGCCGATGGAAGCAATATAATTGAACTGGAAGATGATGAAGATGCTGGGGGTGAGCAAGCTGAGAATGAGACAGGGGCTCTTAATGCCATCGTTGCAGTTGCTGGCGGAGGCCTGGCCCTTCCTCTTAGCCTTTTTTTTTTGTAACGACATTTAGTCTCCAATTGTAATAGACCCCATTAGTAATGAAATTTCATTTTCTTTACACTGTGTTTGTTTCTTGAATTTTGTACTGCATCTTTACTTATGTTGTGGTTTCGTGATGTGCTTCAGTCTGAGATTTGTTTAACTTATCTTATAATTCGCAAATTGAATTTGCAATTTGTTGTACAAGTGTTAGAAGGTGGTATTTCGTTGTAACTTGTTATCTTCCATGAGCATAGGATTGAGTGGATCACCCATGCTGAGGCCCTCTCAATGACTTTTACCATTGAGGGCATGCATTGTTTACTTCAGCAAGTAAGGAAGTGATCTCCTTTGGATACATATTTTCATTGGAGTGCCTATGCTTCCCTACATGGTGGCTGTACCACGAGGCATGGGCTTCTCCTTGGACTTTTGTTGCTGGGAGGCTCTCTTCTTTTCAAGAGTTTTAAAAAAAGCACTTTCATTGAATTAAGAAAATTGTGCAAACTGAATATTTACATTTCTAGTGATAATACTTCCTCAAATGTTCTGTATTCCAGGGATGAAACTGTGCATTTCCATCTAAGTTTTCAATTTTATAGGTTCCTGGCCGAACCTCTTCTTTGATGCAGTTGGGGCACTCCCAGTTAGGACCAAGAGTCTCCACTCTTGGTTCTTTAGAAGATACTAGTTTGCCCCACGTGCGATGCACGTGCCGTTGGTGAAGTTGGGTATTAAATAATGTGTTATTTAAGGAAAAAAATGAAAGA